CGGGGGCTCATCGTGCTGAAGTAAGGATGTGAGTGCGTGTGAGAGACAGACGGATGGACGGGGAGGAGGTGAAGGGGATCTGGATCCTGCCGGGTTGTGGGGAGGGAGTTTGACACGCGTGTGCTCTGAGCAAGGCGGGGTGGTGTGATGGCACTCGCCTGTCATAGCCTCGTGCCACGGCTGCTGGACTAGATGGGAGGAGGCTCCGGCAGCCACGGGCGTGTCGGCCAGGAGGCGGATTTCAAATGTCCCTTCTTTTTGTAATTCTCCCTGGCCATTAACCTCTTTATTGTCACTTGTCTAACTTTCTGTGCACCTTGCTTATTTCCCATCTTCCTGATTGCCAGGGCTGTGAGGACAGGGCTTTCTCCACGTCTTACCGCTGTGTCCCTTGCACCTGGCCCAGAGCTCGGTACCCGGTAGGTGCTCAGTAGTGGTGTATTGGACGAAAGGAATGGATGAATGAATGAACGGATGAGCTGGGGCCGTTGCCATGGGGACGGAGAAGGGAAGATACATACGCTCTGGTGACACTGGACGTTCTGGGCGGACGCGGGCATGCCCTTGGTGCCCGGCGCAGGGCACCACGCAGGGCAGGTTTGCGGATTTGGGAGGCCAGGTCACATCCCGGAAGCCACTGGAAGGTGCGTGGACTGGCTCACACCCCTCACCAGACGGTGGCATTCCCGGGAAACGGCACCCAGAGACGGCTGAGTGAATGACGGGTGAGCTCCCAGATCGGATTCAAGGGTGCAATTACGAAAGCTCTGCAGCAGCTGTTAGAATGAATCCACGCCTCTGAAGCTGAGAGAAAAGCTGCCAAACTCTTTGGTTTTGAATGGAGGTGTTTCTCTTGCCTTCTCCCTGTGTGGTTCTCTCGGGAGGGGGCTGTGAGCGCTGTGGCTGTGCCCCCGGCACCGAGCCCAGTGCCTGGTTTGCAGAAGGAAGGTCAGAAGGATGGGTGCACAGATGCTCCGAGTGACTCCCGCCTCATTTCAGCAACTAATGGTCCTGGTGACTCAGTTCCCAGGAGAATGGGCTCCTTTGCATAAATTTGCAGGAAGTGGGCATTTCAACCTTTGCAGATCCATTCAGGGAGATCAAGCCCGTACACTGGGCAGGTTCAACGGCACGGACTTGCCCGTTGCTACCCGCCCCCCCTGCCCCCCACCAATGCTTGAGGTCAGACGGACATGCTCTGGCCCCTGATCCGCGGTGGCCTCCTGACCTCCCAGATCAGCCTGGATTCATAGAGATGTGCCCAGAGGTGGCTCGCACTCTGTGCGCCTTCTGGTTTCAGGGAGCCCTTGTTCACTTGGCTTTGGCCATAATGCTAATAAATTTCAAAAGAACGAGCGGGGCCACACAACACACAGCAGCTGGCCTCTATGTGAGGGAGCTTCTGAAGTATGTTGGAAGAGACCACAGTGTCTTAAATTAAGCATGACATATGTGATGCATTTAAAGCGAGGTTTCAAAGCGTACGTTTCAGTCGGTTTCCTGGCATTTTGTACAACAGGTTAAGTGAAACCCTGAGAGTCACGTGTTTCTAGGTTTGGGAGAGACTTCAAAATGTTAGTTATTAAGCTGTCCTTGGCGGTGCTTAAAAAACGTCTTCCCCCCCACCCCGCCTTTGCTCACTGAGGTGGTAATTAATTCGTCGAATCGGTGGTGCAGCCATATTTACATACCAGGTATTTGCCAGGCATTTTAAATGGAAACTCGAGAGGAAGCCCAAGATGGGGAGATTGCAGATAACAGAGACACTGTTCCGGTTAAGAGGGTTACGGACCAAGAGTCTTTCTTCCCTTGTCTTCCCTGCGGTGTGGCCCGCGAGGTGGGTTCCAGGATCCCGGAGTAGGGCCACACGCGTGCGTGCGCCGTTGATCCTAATTTAGCAGCGGTGGCTGTTGGTGACTTCCTTCCCAGGAAAAGCTGTGCAGAGAAGCGTTCATCCCACGCTTGGGCAGATGAGCCGGTGACACGACCCGTGACCGCGTGGGGTGGATGTGGTCACAGCAGGTGTCTGACAGGCGCCTGTCCTAGGCAGTCGAGCTCCTCCCTGTGGTCCAGTGACACTCGAGGGGCTCTTGGGGAGGCAGGCAGCCTGAGCTTCCAGCGGGGCTCTTCACGGCTCTTCGGTTCCGTCACCCGGCAGCAACTGACGTGTGGTCAGACCTATGGTAGGTCTTGCCAGCGCTTGCCGGAGCCGGAGTAACTCCTCCTGTATCCTAGATTGCTTAGTGCCATGAAGCTCGTGGTACCTGTACTTACTCAGAATCTTAGAGGAGTGGGGAGCAGAATATTGCTCATTCACCGACTTATTCATTCAGCCATTATTTTTGTACATACTCAGCAGTTATGTATTCAGTGCTACTATATGCCAAGCTGCTGTGCTAGCTACTGGGGATTCAGGGTGCCCTCTGGGGGCTTGCCATTGAACGGGAAAGACTGATACGACGTGAAGGCTCATGCAGTATTCAATATGCCCGTGTTACTGTGATGAGTCCTGCCGAGCACCTCTGGCGCTCCATGGACGTGTAAGAGGACTGTGCCAGGCTGGGGAGGTGGGGCAGAGAGGTCTGAGCTGTGTTCTGAGGGGTGGTCCTGTGTCTGTATGTGAGTGAGAAGGGCATCCCAGGAAGCAGGCACGGCAGGTGCAAACGTCCCGGGGTGCATTTCAGGACCTCCAACAGATGCAGTGTTCAAGTACTTCTGAGGCAGGAGAAACAGCTCCCAAATTAGCCAGCACCTTGGGTTCTCGGTGTCATCTCCCAGCCTGGGGACTCTTCCGGGATCACCCACCATTCCCATTTCCAAGCAGTTCGTACTCTTCCTGTGCTCCCACATCCCCCTGTATACACCATGGTGTTTATTACTCAGAGTTGTAAGTGCTTCTGTGTGTGTGTGTGTGTGTGTGTGTGTGTGTGTGTGCACGCGTGCGCGTGCGTGTGTGTGTTTCTTACACAAGACTGTGAGTTCCCTGAATGCAGGGGATTTTTCTTGTTGCTCCTTGTGCACATGGTAGGTGGTCAGTAAACACGTTAGCAGAGGAACAGGGCAGGGGGGCAGAATTTATTGAGCTCCCGCTGTGGACTCAGCCCTCTTTATGCTACGGTATCGGGAAGCCGAAAGGAGCGTGTGTTTGACAAGCTGGAGAGCTCTGTGCCGTCTGTGCACATATTGCCGGAACTCCGGAACCGAGGCTGTGGTCCTGTGTCTCCCCAGACCTGCTGAAACCCAGCCCTGTGGGAACGAGCCTCCCTGCCCCCGTCCGCCTCTGCCATGGGAGTGTGCGGCCAGCCCCGTTCGCGATGAGACGTGACGCCGTTGACTTTCTCAGGCAGTCACACATCCCCAGCCGGCGCCTGCCAGCTCGGGTAAGTGGGGCCGGGGTGTCCGGGAGGTGGAGGGCGCCTGTGGGTTCTGCCGGGGAATTTTCTCTCCGTCCTTTGTGTTCTGTTACTGCCCCTTGTCTCATGTCCGGCTCACGTGTGTGTCCCAGGGCAGGGTTTCCAAGAGGTCACGTGGACTGGCCCTAAGGGAGACCAGTCCTGATTTTGGTCAGGACCCGACATGCTTAGAACTCTGCCCCCGGGGCCTTGGCAGACGGAACTCTGCCATTCTCCGATTCTCTGGTTCTCCCTATCTGTCCCTCTTCTGCTGCCTCTAACCCTGTCTAGACAGCGTTCTCCGGTTTGGGGAGAAGAAATCTGTTAGCACCATCGAGCGTGTAAGGAAGAGAAAATATCAAAATCTGTCTGCCTTTCTTTCCTGCAG